GTTAAATTCTTACTGTGCTTTGTCAGGTCACTTAAAATGGATCACTTGTGGAGTGTCTGCTGTCTGGTGATGCGTAGTCTCACGCTGAAGTCTTTACCTCCGCTGGGGCACTAACAGCTCTTTCTTCTACTGGCCATCTAGCATGTTCTAGGTTTCCTGAACCTCCTAGGAAGTTTCTGTCTTTGAGATCTCTCTCTTCTGGGTGAATTACTCTTTAGGCTCCATTGACTGTAACGATTAAGATGTGTGTTGGCTATAATGGGAACCTAAAGACGTGTAGTTCCTAGATAAATGCATACATGGTAGGTGCACAATGAAGGTATCAGTCTTGAACTGACTTTCATCTTGCATGGTAGCTTTCTTTCACGCATTTTCCAGTGAGAAACCTTCGTAAGTATTCAAGTAATACATTCATGGTGGCACTGTTGGAAAAACATGCCTTAGATCATGCTTCTTACTCTATGAAATCTGGAGCATATAAATTCACAACAGTTAAAATCAGCAGCCAAAATATTTATCTGTCACTTAAAATACAAGCAAAAAGGTGGATTTGATGTAAGCTTTGGGTAAAGATTAGCATGGTTTCATTTCTGTTCAAAACATTCTGATTATGGCCAGTTTCATACTGTCATGGTTTAACCCCAGCCAGCAACTAAGCACCACACAGCCGCTCGCTCACTCCTCATCCCTCCCAGTGGGATGGGGAGGACAACTGGGAAAAGAAGTAAAACTCCTGGGTTGAGATAAGAACGATTTAATAACTAAAGTAAAATAAAACATAATACTACTACTACTAAGATATAACAACAACAACAATAAAAAGGAATATAACAAAAAAACCCCAAACAAACAAAAAAAAAACCAAGACAGGCGATGCGCAATGCAATTGCTCACCACTCGCCGACCGATGCCCAGTTAGTTCCTGAGCAGTGATCCCCCCAGGTCAACTCCCCCCAGTTTATATACCAGGCATGGCATCACATGGTATGGAATATCCCTTTGGCTAGTTCAGGTCAGCTGTCCTAGCCACGCTCCCTCCCAGTTTGTTGTACACCTGCTTGCTGGCAGAGCATGGGAAACTGAAAAATCCTTAAGTTAGGATGAGCGCTACTTAGCAACAACTAAAACATCAGTGTGTTCTCAACATTATTCTCACACTAAATCCAAAACACACTGTACCAGCTACTAAGAAGAAAACTAACTCTACCCCAGCCAAAACCAGGACATGTCATGCATAAGTTATAGGTATGTTACGTGATGTTTGGAGCAATGAAAAATGTATTACGGTATTATAATTTGAATTTCTTGCTAAGTCCTTCTTGTCCAGACTTGAAATTTTACTCTACAGAAGTAGAATCTCTTCTTTCTCAGGTGAGGTTTATGACAATGTAAATACACCCACACTAATGTAGAGGTGGTTTGGCAGAACAAAGAATCAGAGGTGTAATATTTTTTTCAAAGAAAAGAAAAAGAAAAATATTCACAATGGCCAAAACATCCAGAAGTTCTCGTCACTTATGGGTGCTCAGCTTGAGATACCATGGATTCACTTGACTTGGTGAGTTTGCTTCTTATCATATGGTGTCTTTCTTTTCTATTTTTTGTTTTATTTGAAAATTCTTTTGTCTGTGGAGCACTTACTTGGGTGTTGCTCCTCATGTCTCTCTTCTTTCCACTTTGGCCTTGATCTTTTACTTGTCTGCAGTTTTCCTTATAGGATTATCTTTCTTCTTGTTATCTCCAGAGTTATCCCCTGTCATTATGAATTATCATGTGGTTTATTCTTTCTATTGATATATTGACTTCCACATAAATTTATAGAGTGTTGTATTTTGGCCAAAATTCTTTCCAAAATTCCAAAGGCTAAGTACTTTTCTGCCTTGATGCTAATCTGTGCTTGAGTACAGTAGAATGAGCCTGAGAAACAATACTGTCATTGAGAAAAAAAATGTGAACCCACTGCATACTTACTGCTCAGGAATTCTGTATTATTTGGGTGAGTTGTGTTTAGTGATTTCTTTGCCTGTACCTTTGAGTATTCTTCTTCTTTACTCCCTCTCTTGCCATAAAAATACGTGAATGTATTAATCCCCAAAATGCGCTGGCATCTGTACGGATATATTTCTTTGCCACCCTTCGATGACAGGCTGAGAAGTTTGCTATTGGGGATAAACCTGGGCATGAATCCAGACTACAAGGAAGCTGAAATACTGTTTTCCTGTACTTTCAGCCTAAAGCCTAAATATTTCAACTGATAAATTTAACACAGTTGCAGGCGTCGTAGCCTGACCCGGTAGCTCAGAAGTGCGGACAAGGCAGCGCGGTCACCGTTTGGCTCGCTGGGGCTTTGGCCACTGCTCATGTGCTCAGATTTGCTGCCCAAAAAGTCCTTCGATAGCTGCGGGCAGGCGGTTCTGGGCAGTAGTGCCAACACACAGCTCTACTCGTTTCTCGAGAGGTAGTAAAACCCCGTAGTAAATAAAAAGTCGTTCAGCATGCTATTTTGTAAACCAGTATAGCGCTGATATTGTGCAGCCCTAACAACGGCTCCTTTATTTAAGCGCAGTAGCCGCGGGGAATCTGCAGGAACTTCTCAACAGCGAGGCACTGAGGAACGGGCAGTGCCTGCTCATTTCCCAACGACTAGTTGAAAGACAACTGTCTTTTTGTAATTTTGCTCGGCGTCTTCCTCAGGGCCTGTCATGGGGCGGCGTGTGGCTGCCGATGCCCTGCAATGGGCAGCGACACGGTGAGGCCGTGATGTGGGATCTGTCTGTCCTTTTTCTGTCTGTCCAGCTGCTCACCCCCCCCAGCCAGGGAGGGCACTCCTAAAACGTTGATGCATTAGTGGGGACCAGAGGCTAGTGCTACATCTATACTAGTACTGCGTGCTGTAGCATGCTCCCAGTTATGTAAAATTAGGTAGTTGCGATGGAGGGAAGTAATCATAATAAAAGCTACGTACATGTCACTCTTCTACCCACAGTTTTCTTTCCCCTGCTCACTAAGTAATCTCCATGTTAGCATCTATCCGCTATTCCTTTTCTCCACACTCTAACTTCTTTGAAATGACAGATTTCTCCTTCCTCATGTACCACATTAGAAGCACTTTTCCTTGCCTTACCTTGCCTTGCCCGCCTCAGTACCTCGCCTTTCTCTTTGCTTACTCTTTCTGTCTCATACAGGCGCTCAAATGGCAGTAGCTACCTTCCTCTGAACTGAGCCGTCTTTGATTATAATGGTTGCATAGACACGTTTTTTACGTATAGACACCTCAGTTCAGGGGTTTAGTCAGCTAGCTGAATCCTGTCCATATTTTTTGATGTTTTTTTGGTGATGCTGATAAATGTGTATTTACTTTAATTGCTCTCAGATGGTATGTTGGTAACTTTGGTTCAAGACACTGTCTAACCTCGATTCAAGGGCTCATCTTTCCACACCAGAGAGCTGTGTTCGGGTGCTGAGCAGTATAGAGAGGTGCGTTGTTCCGAGTGTTTTTGAGTTAGTGCCTCCATTTATAACTCCTGAGCTTTTTCAGTATATTTTTCCAGCAACTAGTCTTACTTTCTGTCTTTTTCCTATGTTGTGTCGAGAGCAGCAGGCAAAAGCCAGTTCCAGGTAAACTGAATCCTAAGGGGGATGAGTTGAAACCCATTTCAGACTACGTGGTATTGCTAATTGGCTTTGTGCTTCCATAAATGAAGTAGAAACATATTTTAGTTTGTCTGGCGAATAAAAATAAATTTTTAATATAAAGATTGGAGAACCTGAAAGTGCTGATGACAGCGTCTGCAGCGTGGATGAACTCCCTAACTGCATGACGGCAATAAGTTTGTCGTCTTGTGCCAGAATGGCGTGGTTGAACATCCATGGAAATATTGAATAGTACGGATAAAACCACAGCTGTTTTCATTATACATACTTACAAAAATGGCTAAACAATAGAGGTGTGGAGGGGGGAGGTAGAGAAAGCTTTCAGTGAAGCAGAGGGAGTTGCCAGTTTTTATTCAGTATGGTGGAGCTGAACTAATAGCTATTGCTTCAGACTCCTCTCATGACTTATCACTACTTTATTTTGATTTATTCATTTTATTCCTCTAGCACATAGGAGTTGCATTGTGGGCAAGAACTGCTGCATACTAGGAGCTTTTTAAAGTACTTTTTGTCGATGTCCTGAACAAAACCACTTGTCTGCATGTCTGGTGTATGTATTGATCTTACGGACTGTCTCCTGCCAGGTGGGTAATAAATGCTCAGCCATGACAGTTCTGAAAGTCTAGCAGCCACACCAGCCCCAAAACAACCTCTGGTGTAATGGTGGGGAAAGGATTAGAGAGCAAACAAGGACCACTCACCCTTTAAAAACAATTAAATAATTTATTTTGCATGCGAAAAGGCTGTTAAGAAGGGAACCCTTTTCCACTTGCCACTCAGAAGTTTACAGTACAAGCACTGGAGTTCTGCAGTCAGCAGGTGGAGTCTCCATCCCCAGCTGTGGCTACCAGCTTTATTAATTTTCATTAATGATGCACTTATATCCTCTGCGCTTCCAGTTCATTTTCTACTGCTTTAGTGGAAAGTATTATCTTGCAGTGAATGAACTGAAAAGAGAAGGGGTTTCCTTTTCTATTTATCATCTGTTTACAGGGTTTTGATGAAAGGAATAAGCCTGTTTCTCCAGCCACCTCAGCTAAAATGAGACCATCAATTTCTCAAAGCTCATGAAAGGCCTGGAGAAATAAATCCAAGGCATTCGCCCCCCTGACAAGCTGCCAGAGCCCGCAGAACTTGCTCTCACGCCGGCGTCTTTTCTGCCCTTGATGTCATGTGCAAAACACGAGGATTTGTGCTGTGCTAATCCCTCTAATGAGGGCTTCTCCCAACCTCTATATAAACCCCGCTCAAAGCTGTGGCTGCTGGGCAGGCACCGCAGAGCCGAAGCTCCTGTCTTTTGAACCTCATTCGAGGCAACTGGCGACCGGGATTAAACAACCACCCATCACCAGCATCCTCGGCGGCGAGAGGGATCAATCCTGCTCGGCCGGGGCATGGAGCCGTGGCAAGGCCAGGTTGTCCCACGGCGCAGATCTCCCTGCTCGGCTCGCTCGGGTCCAGCGGAGAGGCAGAGCCGGCACCGGTCCGTAATGGGCACCCTGAGGTGGCTCTGCTGGGCTGGACTGGGCTACCTGAGCTGCTGCGGTCCCCCCCGGGTGCAGGCGCAGTTCCCTCGTGCCTGCATGTCGGCGGATGCCCTTCGCTTGAAGCGCTGCTGCCCGGCCTTGGGGACGGAGCCGGGCAACGTCTGCGGGTCCCTGCAGGGCAGGGGACGGTGTCAGGGGGTGCGGGCGGACGCTCGGCCCTGGAGCGGCCCCTACACCCTTCGAAACGTGGACGACCGGGAACGGTGGCCCCTCAAGTTCTTCAACCAGAGCTGTCGGTGCGCAGGTGAGAGGGGTGCTGGGGCGAGGGGGTTGGGGATGGTTGGGTCTGCTAGCCTTGCTCCAAAGGCCACGAACACCCTTGGTGGCGTAAGGCATCAAGAAGGCTTCAAATGTTATCGGTTTCCTAAAAATACCGCTATGTTCGTGACACTATCAGCACTTTTTCAGAGCAACGGAGTTGAAAAGCTGTTTTCACTCGTGCAACCTTTTGGGTTTTCCTCTTTGGCCCTGGAGTTGTCCCCATAGCCACCCATCGCCTTTCTCTGCAGGGTTTTGGACGTTTCAGTGCTGCGTTCAAACCTCTGTCACTGCTAATCACGGCGGCGTGAACCTGGATCAGTGTGCACTGCTCAGAGATTTATTCCTCTTGGAGTAGTACTTTGCAGCACGACGTACCCCTGTGCACTGAAAACGCGCGGATGTCTGGTCAAGGTGTTTCCCAGGGCCATTAACGAAGTCTACAACTCGCTTTGATCTGAAATGGGTCTGTACAACCACCAAAGAGGCCATCCCATCCTTTCCCTCTCCATCTCCAGCCTCTCCTTCCCACCCATGACTTTACATGGGTTTCCGTGTTCACATGCTGGAGGTGAAACAGGTCAGGGACGAGATGTGGTTGAATGCTAACCTGGCCAAAAGGATCAGGTTTTAATAAGACTGCTGGCAGGAGGGAGGGAGTAGGAAGGTGAGGTCAGGGCAGGATAAAGCGACAAGACCCTTTTTCAGGAGCAGCCCTTGTTGAAGGAGGGTTAAAATGAGCAGGAACAGCAGCCTCAGCCCAGCCTGCTTTGCAGGGCTGGCAGGAGATGGTACCCACGGTCAGGCAAAAGGCACGTCTCAAGCACTGAAGTCACTTCCTAGGCAGATTTCAAATGCAGCCTGGGATTTCTCGTTGGAAACAAAGCTGTTTGGATTTTCTAGCATGGGAAGAGTAGCCTGCTTTCCTTCAACCTGGTTCTTAGAACTAGCTGAACTGTTTTCTCTAAAATATACCTTGGCTCTCACTACCAAAAGAACCCAGATCAATCTGAGGAGGAAGCACTGCAGAAAATTTCAGCCAACGAAGTTAAGTTTTGCAACGCTGTTATCAGCTAAAAGCAGAGAGGTAATGGCAGATGACTTAAGTGGATACATGGCGTTACTGAAGCTCCTCAAAATAATAACAACAGACTTTAGAGTATACATTGGTTTTTATTTTTTTCTTTGACTAGCTTTCAAATGCTTGTGTGGAAGTACTTTTCCAGACACTTTACAAAAAAAGTTGGATGTAGGGTTTTTTTTTTCATTTTAAAAGTTCTTACGTACTTCCAAAACTAAAGTCAGGTATCACATACAGGCACAGACACCGAGTCAGAAGAGCACTGAAGCACACGAGCATACAGCAATATGTACACAGCCTAAGTAATTAGGGCATCAAAACCTAGGAGTAAATTGAAAAGTAGTGTAGACTGACATGGTCTGCATAGGCAGACGTTCATTTGCTTCTCCAAGTAGATGTAAGCACCAGTATTTGATATTTGCAGGGCTGGGTCCCAAGTTACGTGACCAGAATGTAGTGTCCTTTCATTCAGCCTTTCTTCTGCTGAGCTGTCTGCTCTCCTTGTCTCTTTAAATCTGGTTTCTCTCGCTGCATTTTTATTTCACTTGTATTCCTCTTTCTCCTTGCAGTCTTTATTATCTAAATATACCAGTGATAAAACATTAAGGTGGAAGGCATCCTTAAAGATGATTTTCAGAAAGGTTTCCTGGGCTCTACTCCACTTGATGCTGCATGCAAACGTATTTGTAGGAGAATGCTAAGAAGTTCACAACTGTGTAGGATTTGAATTAGATCTGATGCTTTTATAATGCCAGCAGTCATGTGCCTGTGTCTATTAGTATTTTATTGTATTTTTTAAAATTCTGTTTTATGCACTGGTGGGCTGTCTGCACACCACAGTTCTAACTGGTGTGACGTGTGGTCTTTATTAGGCATCTAGTGTTATGGTACATGTGGTAGGTAACATAAATTAAATATGCTCATTCAAAGGGACATGGAACAGTGTAAATCTCTACTATTAAGGCATCTTATTTTATAAATGAATGTTTTATGTGCAGACTGCCTATTTGAAATGGTTCCTGGCTTATACTAACTCCAACCCACACCAAGTCTCTTTCTAGCATTTTAACAATATAAATGGTCGTGTTCCAGTGCTGTCTTGGTACTGTTTAATTTATATTTTAGACATGGTGTAAACAATAAGCTGTAGGAACTCCAATTGCCATGTAGCTGATTATATTTGGTTAGACAGTGCCATTTAAACATGTCACATAGCTGATGGCTGTACGGTCGGAAACTTGGAGGAGCTGTGAGAAACAGGGGCCAGGATTTTCCAAAGGGGGCATTCTGGAGTTCTCACAATAAATTAATCCATTTGAGCTTTCTGCTAAAAACTTAGTAACTAAGGATAAAAGGAACTCTGAAAATTTGGTCATTTGTTGTAGCTGCTCACTGAGGAAAAATGTGTTTCAATCATATTCATCGAGGTCTGAGTGCTGAATATTTCGGGGGCGGGGGGAAGAAAATCCCAAACACAAACAAATATTGATGATTGGTTATTCTGGGGTTGGATTATTTTGATATTTTTTCTCAAATTAATATAGATTTTCTAAAGAAAGTTAAAAAAAATCACATTTATTTTCCATTTCTAGGCTTTAGCAGATAACATGCATTAGTCTGTCTTTAATCGGGGACAAATATAACAGAATAAGATTGGTACAACAGAAATATTCAGCTTTACTTCCCACTTTTTGTACAACGAGCCGTGGTCAAAAAGACAATTTTAAGTCTGTTGTCACGATGCTGCTTGTTGCATGTTTCTCTCAATATGTTGGTGGCAACAAAAATACCATCTCTAGAAAAAAAGATGTCGTTATGGCATGAATGTAGCTAGGAGGTAGCAAAGAGCTTTTAGTTCCTGTCTAATTTCAGTTTTGCATCATTGTATGTGTGCTAAAATTGGTTTGGGTGCACCTAATGTTAATTCAATTTGTATAAATTCTTAAACTGAAATGACCTGATGACAGGTTCCTGACAGTGTGCAGTACTATGTGAAGGGGAATATGGTAATTTGTTTTCCAATAAGGTGTATGTGTTGAATTAGGCAAAATGTTGGATGCACTAGTCTAACCCTGAAAATTGACACTTGTAGCTAATTACACAACAAAGCAGTATTTCAGTGGCATAGTTAAATTTAGTTTAGAAGAATACTGTTTTAGACGACTTATGAGCTAAATGCTATTTTGAGTTCTAAAAGATAAAATTGTGCTAATGGGATACAGATCTAGTATCACATTTTAAAAACTCAGTACAGAAGATTATTGTGAAAAAACCCACTGCAGTCAGTCATGTGGTTGCTAGTACAGATTTTGACAGTGATTAAACAATGATGTAGCTTGAGTTCACTGAAGGAGTTAAACATAATTATCATTCTTTTTTTTCCCCTGCCACTTTCTAAGGTTGACATGTGGGCATGTACTGAACATTACTCTATTTTTTGTTTCCATAGAAGTTTCCTGAGGAAAAAAATATTTAAATAATCTTTTCACATTCTTGTGCAATATATAATCAAACTGGGGACAGAAGGCTTAAATTCTGTTGTTTAGCTGTAAGCAAATTGCTCGTTAAGCCATGTAGCTGACATGATGGCCCTCCCATTAGGTAAAAATGAGCTTTTGAAGTAGTTATAAAATACACTTCACGTACTTATTGTAGGGCAATGTGGCTGTGGGATACTAAATTATAACCATACCTTGGTGACCCTGTTAAATCCTGTGCTGGGTACAGATCTTCCTCATCCTACAGCCTAACAGTATGTCCACATGAAGAGCTAGAAGAGATGGAAGAGCTAACCATTTGTCTCACATGCTAGCAATCCTGATCCTGCCCTTGGGATACTGCAGTATGCTGGTGTTTCAAATCTAATGTAACTCCTGTTTTAATGCAATGGCTAAAGAAGTTTGAAAAGGAGTCCTTTCTCCCCATCTGATAAATGATATGTATTAAGCTGGTCCCTGTGGAAGGAAGAGGCACGGCAGCTGCTCAGATTTCATCTTGGCATAATAAAACAAGGCAGAAGATTGTGAGGGTTGGATCGGTTCCTTTTTACTGAAGAAAAGACACCGAGTTGATGGAGTTACTAATTTGTGTTATGCTCAGTGTCTGAGGGGCAAGCATGTGCTATTGACTGCTCAGAGGCAGAAAAATCCCCGTCTGTGAGCTCAGGCAATCACTGGGGTTGAGAAGCAGCTACAGTGGTACGCGGGAACTGGTGTTAGCATACACCAGTGATGTGTATTATTAACACGTACTGCGTGTCATGTCATAAGAAGTGTCTTCTCCTCAGCGTCATGCCCATGAACTGACCCACTGGGAGAAGTAGCATGGCCATGGTGCCTACAGAGACAGCCAGATTCACCCATCTTGACTGGGAAAGAGCACCATTAATGAAGGTGAGATTAGGCACAGAAGAAGACAGCTCCGAGGCATGTGATCCCATCTCCAGACAAAAGGGTTAGTGGGGAAGACACCTCAGATGATTTGTTTTTTTTGCCCAGCGGCAATACAGCAGTCATTCCCGAAAGCAGTAGAACAAGCAAGGAGCATCTGGGCCCCATTTGTGACCTGATCTGCCTGTGTGCCAGAATGACCTCCCACACTACATTCTCTAGGAACCACAAGAGGTGAGACTAATCTCCGTGGTCCCTGGCACAGCCTCAGAGACGGAGTACACTGAGTTGCTGTGTGTTAGTCACTGAAGGGGAAAAAAAAGCCAAGGCATGAATCCTTCCATGTTCCTATGGTCCCTGTGGTCAAAAGGATCTTGAAAGGGTCCCAATGTCTTACTGAAAACCCCTACTGTGTGCTATATCCTGGTAATATGAGATTACTTTTCCTGCTCTCCTAGAGCTGTACCACTGAAGTCCACCATCACCAGCGTAGCAGACACAGAAGTTAAGTTGTAAGAGACTGGGACATACATTTCACAGTGCTATCCTGTGGGAAGTCCACAAGGCAGTAGATGAACTTTCTAAAAACAGCAATGCATCATTTCCAGACCAGTGGCCTGGTAGAGTGCTTTAGAAACAAATGCTGAAAAAGAGGTTTGGGTGGTACATAAAACACCTGGGTCTGAGTACTGCAGCCGTTCCTGTTTGCAGTGTGGGAGATCCCACAGACCTCCATCAGCTTCTCGCCGTTTCAGCAGCTGCGTAACGACAGCCCTGTGATGCATGGAGTCTATTGAAAGAAAACGACAAAAAGCAACTTTTGATTTCATCAAGTATTGTTGTGTGTATTTCTGACAAGAACATTGCCAAATAGACCTGAGCATGTTACAAAAATGTCCAACGCAATCAGCAGAAATGCTGCAGTGTGAAATACCGCTTTCCCTGGAGATCGGCTCTTCCTGCTTGCCAGTCTCTTCTTCACTGCAGTCCTCTTTCTCACTCAGTAAAAGCTCATGACCCACTGAAAAGTGTCTGGTGAAGTAGTGGAAAGAATGGATCCCTTGGATTACTTCATAGATTAGGTAGTTAAGGGAGAAAATCCTGCAGAGCACCAACTGGATATAATTAGCACCTGCCCAAGGGAAACAGGTGAGGAGTCATTGGTCCACCTGGCTCAGATGCCATACAGGTGGAGAATAGCTTTTTTCCCCCCTCAAAGATGACTCATCATTTCAAGCTTTTGCAAATTTCATAGCCTGAGGAGGCACGTGGAGTATATCTAAAATACGGATATTGTCCAATAAAATGATCTTGGGCATCAAGAGCTGCCCAGATTCAAAGGGCCCTTGCTGAGAGAGGAATGGGCACCATCAGAGCCTCAACAAGTGACTGGGGGAGTCTTGTTCTTGTACCGAGACCAGACAGGACAAACCTGGTCCTGCACTAACGTTGGGCCTGTTAGTGCTATATTTCAATGTGATGCTTATCCAATGCTGTGAGTAGATGGGTCATTTGAATTACTGGAAGTGTGACTGCCAATCTCAAAAAAGTTTGTTGACGGATGTTTTCGTGGTTAATTCCTGCTTTGCCCCCCTTCTCTTAAAAAGGATTGAAGTGTACCTTTGGGTGTGAGGGGAAAACAGCTGCTTTTCAGAAGTTCACGGTCCCGGTACTGAAACTTGTGCAATATACATGGCCTAATTAGAGACTGTTGTAAGATATTCCTGACATTTGCCATTTGGTCAGTACAGTACTGGAGTATGTGACGGGCCCTAATAGCTAGGCTGAGTTGTCAAGAATGAGCAAGTATACGGATAGTGGACTACACCAAATTCACAACAGCAATTGTGCTCTTCTGCTGGAAGTCTCAGGATGTAGTGATGATAAAATCAACTTTCCATGTTGCTTCCCCCCCATCTTAATCTCTGCCCTCATCATAGTAGCATATCCACGCAATCTTTTTTCTTTCGTAAAACTATAAACTGCTTGCTTTTTCCGGCATATGTCTTCATCCCCCAAACCAATGCAGATCCCTGGCTTTGGGTGCTTTCTGTCCTAGCTGGAACATGGCAGCTGAGCCCAGCTGCTCCTACCCGCGTCAGGACAAAAGGTAAGCCATAGACCTGGAAACTCTCTTCATGGTATGCCATTGGGCTGTGCACGATCCAAAATCTAGTTGAAATCTTCCCCCTTGTTGTTCCCTAACCTTAGCACTGGCCCTAAGCTTCACGATAGCACGTAAACCTATAGATCTCAGAGCCTCCAAAGTAACCGTAAGCTATCCAAACCTACAGTTAAAAGTCCTATGTCCTCTTGGTAGGTCTCACAGGAGTCTGTCACAAATGTTTAGAGCTCAGCAGCCCTTATCCTAGAGCTAGCCATAAGCTACACAGCCTTCTCGGTAACAGCCCTTGTAACCTTGGGGTTCTCTGAAATTGGTAATAAGCCCTGTAGCCCCTGACAATCTGAAATTTTACTTTAGTGTTAACTGTTATTCTGCTCATAGACTTAACCCTACAGCCTAGGGATGTCTGCCCATCCAGGAACACTTCATAAGCCACTTCCCCATCTCCATGTTAGCCTGAAGCCTGTCCTGGGTCCAGCAGCACCTATATGTGCGGGGAACAGTGAGATTTTGCGGTGTTTTGGAAGACGATTGGCATGGTGGTTGTGGAGTGAGTGTGGACGTGGGGTTAGGGACTCTCAGTGCAGATTTTGGAGAACTGAGTGGCGATCCCAGAGGACCCCTGGCTGCCCCTCTGCCCCCTCCTTCCCCCGTCAGCGATGCCCGCTGTCCTACCCCACCGCTACGCCAGCAGCCTGCCTGCGCGCGGGCAGGAGGCAGATGTCTGTCCACCGCGGGGACGGGCGGTTGTTCCCTTTTTCCCCTGGCAAAGGCAAAGCGAGCTGCAGCGGGGCCTCTCTGCTGCTGCTGGCGCTCTGCCACGGTGGGCGAGAGGCCATGCTTAAAACAAGCTCTGCTTTCCTGGGCTCTTCCACCACGTTAGAGCGTCTGAGTAATAGCCTAGAGCGGACCTGATACTTGCCTTTGGAACGATGCCAGCGGGGAGCGACGGTACTGCAGTGTTTCTCAGGCTCTTATTGCAGCACCATTTAATAATGCTTAAAGCATGACCTGCAGCACCACTGGTGCTTGTCCTGGATTGTGTTGGGTCTCAGATACGCTGTTAACAGACGTTAGTTTTTCTGAAGTTTTGTCCTTAAGAGAACTCTTTTGTTTGGGGATTTTATTCCCTGCTTAAGGATCCACGTGAACCGACCCTTTTTCGGGCTTGATCCTGGAAGTCTGGGTGTACTTGAGAGCCAAACGAGCAAAGCGCTTCATCACATGCTTAACCTGAAGTGCTCAGCCCTCTGTTCGCTGAGACTCCTCACATGGCTGAGGGCTTCGCAGAGCTCTGAGCACCTCGGGGTGTCAAGCCCGTTACCCAAGGCTTCACCTCCCCAACGGGCTGAGTGTGATTCTTGGCCCTGCCGTGGCTCTGGGAAGCGAGCCATCCTTCTGGCTGGGCAACTGGCAAAGCTGCCAGTCTGCTCAGCTGCTGTCCTTTCCAGGAACTGATGTCTGGGGAAAAAGAGTGCTAATTCTTAATTTTTCTGCGTTTCGCTGTTAGTTTTCCCTGATCCATAATGTCATGACTGCACTTTTCCTCTCGATTCAGGAAACTTCGCTGGCTATAACTGTGGTGACTGCAAGTTTGGCTGGACCGGCCCCGAGTGCAACGTGAGGAAGCCAGCGGTTGTCAGGAAGGATGTCCACTCCCTGACGGCAGAGGAGAGGGAGCAGTTCTTTGATGCTCTGGACCGTGCAAAGACAACCGTTCACCCAGACTATGTAATTGCAACTCAGCACTGGATAAGTCTGCTTGGTCCCACCGGAGAGGAACCGCAAATTGCCAACTGTAGTATTTATAACTACTTTGTATGGCTTCATTACTACTCGGTCAGAGACACGCTTTTAGGTTAGTGCTTTTCTTATCCAATGGGCTCTGCAGGTAAAGGAAAAGGTGAAAAGTATCATTGCTGAACAAAGGTAAGTATGCTTCACACAGCTGTGCTACTTCATCGAGCAGCGAATCCCAGTAGGAGTGGATCTGTGGAGTGAAACAGTTGGTGGTGAGAAGCTGGTGGCCATCTGCAGCCGAGGGAGGTGTAATTCAGACCTGCCGCGGTCTGGTCCCCCGACCCCGTGGTGGCTGGAGCACACCAGCCGCACTCCTGGTGCATCTTCCCTCTGACAGGGAGGCAGTTCTCAGGCTCCACCGCTGGATGAACTGAAGTGTGGTCAGGCAGTGATTGACTTCAAAAAGATGTTCCCGGTCCACAGGATGAGGTAGATGCAGCAGCAGCGGGAAAGGGGCTGTGCAGTGCTGAAGGCAGAGGCCATGCAGAGACGTTGGGGACCAGAGTGCTGCTGCTTTCTGTGGCTTTCAGCAAGTCGCCAAGTATGGGGTTTGCCTGACTAACTGCAGACAGCTTTTAAAACCAAACCACGTTAGGAGTTTGGGTATCTAACCCCATGCTTTCTCCCATATCCAGATTCTTAGTCCTCATTGCTCTTCTAGACAGAAGTACCTATGCCAGCCCCATTTCGCAAAGCCCAGCTCTTGCAGGAGGAGGCACCAGTACGGCTTTTGTACCTGGCAGCCCTACGTGCAAGCTGAACAGCCTGTATCTACCTCCTTGCTAGAGGGTATCTGCTACCCTGCAGGGGGTTTTCTTCAGTGTCCCCTTCTGACACTGTTCCATTTTGCAGGGCTGAACGAAGCAGTCTCTGGCCGAGCAAGACCAAAGGTCCTTCAGGGGACAGGACGGTCATGTGGAAAGGGAAAGAGGCAACATCTAGTGCTGCTCTAGTGATAAATAAATTCATGTGTGGGTTTAAGCTTGCTGCAGCGATAAACAAATCCATATGTGGTTTGAAGCCTCTAGTCTTTGAGTGTCTTAGTTCTCATGTGAAATAGCAAGAGATATAATACAACAATAGAAATAACAAGCAAAATTTGAAGAAAATTGGCAAAGGACATTGAATTACTGTTGGCAGGTTATGGAAAACGCTGAGGTTCTCTTGATAGGTAGGTACATGGTGCAAGTCCTGTGGCTGAGCAGGAGAATGAGATAATGTGCTACATATGAGCAAGGAGCTAAGATTTTAGACAATAAAACTGCTTCTTAAAACCAAAATCCACTAAAGTGAGAAGAAATGTTCACAACATCCAACTTTTGGGGGAATGTGAAGTTTTAAGAAGCACTGAAGCGAATATCCGCAGAGGAGTTTGTTTCCCTTGTCCCATGTAAGTGTTGTACCTTCTGACGTGTGCGCTCTTTCCAAAGGTGCAAAGCTGCAGGTTTTGTTTAACTCCACTCCAGGCAATAGAAGAAGGTGCTGTCTTTCTCTTGAGCTTCATTTGGTGCCTAAGTTCTTCTTTTATCTTCCCTTTGTAGGACCTGGCCGCCCCTTCACAGGTATTGATTTCTCCCATCAAGGACCTGCCTTTGTTACTTGGCATAGGTACCATTTGCTGTTGCTGGAGAGAGACCTGCAGGTTAGCTGAACAGCCTTTCCCTTTCCTCATGCAGCTTCTCTCTTTTGCTACGTGACTTTGTCGAGCCAGCCAAGGGTAAGCTATTTCCTAGGATAGAGTCTTAGCCAAACTCCCAGGAGTGTTTGCTCACTGATCTTTTTTTGTTTAAAGTGAAATTAGTGCTTTCGAGATACTGAGGACTGAACAGTTTCTCACTGTGAACAATGATGTGAAGGTTATCATGGAGATTTTTTTCTTCATCTCCACAACAGAGGACAGAAGAGGTGAATTAACAGTATTTATTAATAAAATCAAAGCAACACCTACACATAAAACTTGGTAACAGATATTGTCTGCTGACATTGAAGATACTCTCCTAACGAAAGCAACTCAAAATATTACCTCCTTTAAATATGCCACGTTATACATTTAGTACATACATATATTTAGCAATACATCTTTTAAAGAAATATATGTTAACATGCCCAACAGTCAGTTGCCAAAGCATTGACTCATTTCCATTTGCGTTACTTCTACATTGGCAGTGTTACTGTATTTTAACCTTGCAGATCTCTAATGAAAATGGTTGGTATCAAAATAGCTGCAGGATCTTGCTTTGCGTGAAATCGTATCTAACAAGCAAGCACAAGCAAATGCACTGTATTGCTCTATTAATACAAGTTCAGATTCTTCCCCAGGGCTAGCCTTTCTGGAGTGAAAGCAAACCACATGCACAATTTTACCCATTACCCACTTACATCACTCAGAAAGTCTCTTAGTTGCTTAAGGCTCAATTCATCTCTGCTCCCACTCTCCTGCCTGGTCTCCGAATTGGTAGAAAGCCTAACATGGCCAAAAGAAGCGCAGGCCAACAGTGGAGAAACTAGGGACAGTGTCTTTGCTTGGACTGACTTAATGCCCCAATCTTGTGCGAGGAGTTGGAGCAGCGCTCTGAAATGCATGTAGTTGAAATGCAGAATGAAAAGCAGAATATCCAGTGAACTATCCAGTGAATACCCAGTGAAACACCTTGTAGGAGTCCCTTTCTTTCTCTTTCCTTTGAAGGTGATCCCCTGCTAACGCATTTCTCTCCATTGCAGCGACTGATAGGCAATGACTCCTTCGCGCTGCCCTACTGGAACTTTGCCACGGGTAGAAACGAGTGCGACGTTTGCACGGACCAGCTCTTCGGAGCATCGCAGCCGGATGACCCGGGGCTGATCAGCCTGAGCTCCAGGTTCTCCCGGTGGCAAATAGTTTGTAACAGGTAAGAGAATATCTAGGGCAAGCTTGCATACTCACCAAACCTTGCTTTCATTCAGTATTGGCAGCGCAGGCCGCTCTCAGTGTGAGTGAGCGGCAGGAAAAGAGCCAAGATGTCTTTTTTAAAACTGGGAATCACGGTCAGTTTGTGTGTAGATGGTGCTGCGTAAACTTCCCCCCCGGTATCATGGAAGTATATTTTTAAAAGATGATTCTTCTGGTACAGGATTTTAGTCAATTCAGCCAATTTGAGGCTGCCAAAAGTTTGAAGAGTTTGCACATTGGCAAGTATCTTCTTAAAGAAGAAATGTCTGCGTGTCGGTTGTCTGTAACAAACACCCAACTGATTTTTGGCAGCAGAAAAAGAAAACTGTTTTGGCATTTAGGAAGCTAGAGATAGGCTGAAAAATCTGTTCCCTTGTATTGGGTGAGACCTTAACCCTGATGTATTTAGTGCAGCTTGGGGATTGACTTTGAAGTGGCTGAGATTTCACATGGAAAACAACTCGGAGACAGCCAGCAGCTTGCTGCCAGCTCTCTGTAGGCATATACTGATTTGGGTGAGAGCAGGGCTTTGACAAGGGATCCACATACAGAATTGGGGTGCTATGACGTAAGATGCTGCCGGTCACAATACCCACATAACATTCCTCTGTCAGCTCCGGGGCAGCGTGCAGTCAGTCAGACGGAGGTACCGAGAGCTCAGGGCTATTCAAAAGACTCTCTTTCTCTGGGGACCTAAAGAGCTACTTGAAATTCTAGCTTTAGGCACCAGTTGGCTTTAAATCTTGCCCCTACTTTTTCCCTAAGATAAACAGGGCTTTGTTTTTTCTCGAAAACTGAAGTGACTAAACTTTTGCCTTGCCAAGGTTGAACAGAGAAGGGCTGTTGTTTACTTCAGGAGTTTCTGAAAATGCCGATTCATTTTGTACTGAATAGCACAGAATTTTTTCACGAGTGTTGTGCTCTTTTTTTCTCCTCCTCCTTCCCTCTTTCTCTCCCTGATACAAGGACGTGCTCCCCATTAGCTAGTGAGCAACCCCTGCAACAGCAGGATGTCCTCCAGGCCCCGAAAAAGAGGATGTGATGCATTGCCATTGCCATTGCTTTGCTTCTAAAGGGGCTGAGGGTTGGAAAGTGAAATCCTGTTTTCTGTCATTCCTTGCATTTTCTCAGCCCACCCCACAGTGGGACTTTCCTGGGGGCTTTTTTCCTCTTTGTCAAGAGTTAAAAAAGTAGTCCTTACTCAGGACTGAAAGTTTGTCACTTCAAAATTCAAGACTGTTTTAGATTGTCTGGCAAAACCTGTTCTTCCAAAGCCCTCGGGAGGGAAGAAGGCGCGAAGGGAGTTGTGCCTGCCTTTTCTAAAGCATCCTCTCTCTGTGGACAACGAACCTGGTAGCTCTTGGTCCAAATGACTGATGGTCCACAGAGGACGCAGAGCCACAGAAAGCCACGGCACAGTGGCAGTCCTGCAATAAATTCAGCTCCCAGCCCACGGGAGGTGAACCGAGATGCCCCGGGAGGTGTCAGTCCCTAACCCCTTCTCTCTCACACGTATAGCCGAGGCCTCTTTGATACCCTGGGAGAAAAAGCCAACAAGTCATCACCTTCTTCTGACTTGCGCCTCTTTTCTGTTTCACGCTCAGCTTGGATGACTACAACCGCCTGGTCACGCTGTGCAACGGGAGTGACGAAGGGCCGCTGCGGCGGAGACCGCCCGGGACCTCCAGCGAGCAGCTGCCCACTGCCGAGGACATCAGGAGGTGCCTTTCCCTGCGGGAGTTCGACAGCCCCCCTTTTTTCCGCAATTCCAGTTTCAGTTTCAGGTTTGTCCTTCCGCTCCTCCAGAGCTGGCTGGGTTGTGGGTTTTCTTTACGTGCGCGTTTGTCAGCAAAATAGGGTTACTTGATGCTGCTTTCACCCGTCCGCAGGAATGCGCTGGAGGGCTTTGATAAACCAGGTGGAGCCCTTAATTCGCCGATGCTGAGCCTTCATAATTTGGCTCACTCTTTCCTGAATGGGACCAGCGTTCTCCCTCACGCAGCTGCCAACGATCCCATCTTTGTGGTATGTCTTTTTTCCCCGGCGTTAGTGGCGGTGGGTCAAAGGCAGCTATCTCACCAGAGATTTGCAGAACAGAAGTAAAGTGAATCCTGAAAATAAGTCCTTTAAGTAGAAAAGGAGAAATCGTTTCTCTTTTCTTGAACGCTGCCACACCTGCATAATGATCAAATAAAGAGGGAAGAAATCTTAGGGTGATTTGTAAAATAGAAAATAAGTTTCTAGGGAGAAGAGCTGCTATTCCAAGTTATGGTGCCCTGAATCCTTTCATTACGTGCTATCTAAATTTAATGGCTTATACCAGACAATTTTACAGGAACAAGATAAACTGAAAGTGGGGCTAGTTATTTTAGAGCAGTAGACTGAGTAGTTTGTTTCTTTGTTTCAAAATTCACAGGCTAAAAGAAAGCACATTGAATTTCAGGGTCATTTGGCAAATAGAAATAATGGGATTTCACTGGTGCATTGGTATGTTGTTGCACTGCAATGAGCAGCACAAACAGCAATGTGCAAATAAAAAGCCGACGGTTGACTCTGCTTACACATCTTTCTCTCCTAATAAATTCATGCCAATTTCTTTTCCTCTTTGTTAGATTAAACCACAGTGACTATATAGAGAAATTCTAATAAAATTAATTTCTTTCTCACCTTTATTTTAATTTGCAATCTTTTGTTGGAGAAATTAGTCTGAGTACTTATGTAGTGGTTCTCCAGCATTTTTCCTTAATAATCCTTGAATTCCTACATGAATTTCTTTCTTGCACAATGAAATCTTCATTTCACTGTGCTATTCACTGTGTAATTTGATACGCAAGATTATTTTCTATAGGATATTTTCTAAGTTTTTTCCAGGTTTGTAACTAAAAAACATGAGTACATCAGAAATTAATTTGAATTGCCACAGACATTTGTAATAGTTGTTTGAAACAACTTTCCTGTATTAGTGCTTTATAGACATATAAACCCACCGGGTAAGACCTGATCAAATTCATGGGTACCTGGAACTGTGGAGCTGGTGGCACGCTCTAAAATGAGCATGAAGGAATCAAATTTCCCCCAATTTTCCCCACCTGTTGAGGGACGAGAAAGATTAAAATACGTTTGAAAGGTACATTCGCCTGAATGAGCTCAGTGGGCTCTCACCTGGGAGGACACACCTGCCCGTTCAATGTCAGCTGATATTAAACTGTCTGGAGAAAGAGCTTATTGTGAACAAGCAGCAACAAGGATATACACAGCAAAATGTCCCATGCAGGAGATCAATTTACTCCATTCTCACAAGCTTTCCTGGTTTCCCATTCTGTAAATCCCACCTAAATTAGATTACCCTCCTCTCTCTTTCAAAAGCTTCTGCCACCTTAAGAGAGAGTGTTTTAAATGCTGTTGAGTTCTGAAAGAGTTTAGTAAATGTGTGTGCCCATGCCCCGATCTGCAGGTTCTTCACTCCTTTACCGATGCCATCTTTGACGAGTGGATGAAGCGGTTTAACCCTGCTGACAACGCCTGGCCCGAGGAGCTGGCGCCCATCGGTCACAACAGGCTGTATAACATGGTCCCTTTTTTCCCTCCCGTGACCAACGACGAGCTCTTCCAAACTGCGGAGCAGCTCGGCTACACCTATGCCATTGACCTGCCAGGTACGTCTCAGAGGTGTCGAGGCTGTCCCAGGCCAAGCGATGAGACAGCTCACATCTTCAGTGATGCAGGCATATGGAAAATAAGGCGCATTTCACAAAACGCATGGCTCTATTCACCCGCTCGCTAGCAGTCACATATTGTAGCACACACAGGTAGTTACAGCTCACCAGGTAAGCTGTGGTAACTACAAGTCTGCGCATACTTAGTTTGCTCTGCTACAAAACGCATCAACTTGAACTGCTCCAGTGTCGACAATGGTGCTCCTTTGGGCTTGAGGAGTCTTTGAATTTGGCTCCTGTTCCCAGCACTGTTTATTCCTGTTACAGGATCCTGTAACCTGTCACAGGTCAGGCACTCTGCCAGCGAGCTCGTCTGGTTAACGCCGGTCATTAGAAAATACTTGTTTTGCACAGGGCCCTGAATAATACTGCACCGTCAATCTCATTAAAGATGAACTCCATTAATCTTTGGATATGCTGGAGAGATGTACCTGGGTGTTTTGTGTTACAAACCCCCAATTTTCAAAATTTTTCATGTCCATAGGTGTGATGTGCCTTAGAATTTGTCTATTGGTTTGAAATTACCTTTGACACAAATAAGATAAAGACAAAAAACAAGAAATCAAAGTATTTATGCACAAAATCCAAAATTTGCAACAAGAGTTACAAACTTTTGTAAAAGGCACAAGTGTAAGAAATGCATGAAAACCATGCTTCAGCTGCTTTACCAAAGATTAAATCTGAGCAGTTTCTTTTTCCACCTCGGTATTCCTTTGAGAGGCAGTAGGTTCTTATCTAACCTATGTGGCCAGGAATTTCTTCTAAATGCTTACCATATATCTGTGGTTTTAATCTGTGGAGGCTGTTGAAAGGTCTATAGACTGTGAAAGATTGAAACTCTTGTCCTCAGGCTGCATTCACGCAGGGGAGCCCTGACTTGTGGAGGCATGCTAGCTGCTTCTGCAGTGCTTTTCTCAGGGGTGTCCCCAGAATTTTCCCTGAAAATTTAAACTTCCCCTTTTATGGAGCTTTAAGTTTTCCTCCCTCTGGACGACTGTCCTCACTCCTGCTTTGGAAATGCTGCTGCCCCTTTGGGCATGAGGTACCCAGAGAGGAATAAAGGCAGCTTGTGATTCTGCTGCTTCTCAACTCCCCCTAAATAAATTGTTATCTCACTGTGAAGCAGTGTATCTATCCCTGTCTGTGTGGTCAGTGTTCAGAGAATAAAGTTTTTACATTAAAACCCTTCTCTTTTATCTAAATATGTAACTTGCTAATTCTACTTCATGTAACCACATTAGAAATCAACATAGGCAATACATTGCTGGGTCTTACTTGAGAGATGGTAAAGTGGTAAACAATTCATTTGGTGATCTTACTGAATTTGGGCACGATTGCCCTCAACTCGCTTGTTGACATAGGCTGCAGATTGAGGCACACAACTTTTGGTTGCTTTTATAGTCAGTGTGACATCTTGAGCCATATGGATTTAAGCCCATGTGTCCAAGTACCTTCTAAATACCTTAAATCCTTTTGAGAGTTTTTGGTGACTATTTAGTCAAACGTAATTATTGCCATCTTGGTATATGTAGCATTTTTCAGAACAGGAGAGCAGGCAGTTGTTGATTCTGAAAGCATAAATGAAAACACAAAGTTATTTTAGCCAAGGGGAGCAGGTTTATTATAAGAATGGGCAATATTATCTTAGAAGACAGTGGTTCCCCAGAAGTGGTTCAAAATCAGAGGATGCAATCTGGAGCCAGTCGGCAGAACCACACTAAGTACTGTTTTCAGTTAACAGTTTGACAATAGGCTGCTTTGTGGTCTATAGGAAAATTTGAGGGCTTTCAGTTGACCAAAATAACTTGGAAACAGCTATGCTGAAATGTCATTATCGAAAGAATTGCATAAAGCATTCATAATTTTGGCCAAATTAGATAAGAGAATGGTCTTTTTGTCTTGTTACCATTAATCTTTCCCATTCTCAACACTTTCGTTTGTATGAAGGGTTGAAGTTTGAATTCAGCTGTAGAGTCCTCTGGCAGGAAACATCTTTGGCTCTGGTATGTGTGTGTCGGTTACACGGTACATTACCACCTTCCCCTGTGGCCATTGGGTCTCTAAGCCACACAAGTAATCCTAATTACCAGGCTGTGGGATATTTTCTTTCTTCCATGTGATTTGAGAAATGAAACTGTGGGCTGTCCTCACTTCAGACATTTCATGTTTCCAGGTTCACTTGAAGAAACCCAAGCATGGGCTGTCATGGTTGGATCCACAATTGGAGGAGCACTTATAGCTCTGGCCACGCTCGTTCTGCTGCTTGTACTTTTCCAGCACCAGAGGCAGAGAAGAGGTTTTGAACCACTGATGAATGTGAGCTTCAGCCCCAAAAAGTACATGGAAGAAGCCTAATGCCCTCGTTTTGTTTCTTTGCTTATCCTTGTAGGAAGTGACCTTGATTGCCTTACTGAGATCTTAGCTGAGAATTTCTTACACACTCCTTTGGCAGCTGACTACATTGTTCTCATTCAGGTTTTCCCATTATCTTGTGAATTGTAATATATAAAGTCTCTGGGTACACATGTGCAAGGCCCAAGACAGGCCAGGCTTTTCTCATTACCAAACATTATCTGGAGCGTGTGACACTTGTAAGTCATCCTCTATAGATTTAGATCAAGACAGGTAAGAATCTAAATAGAAGAAAACCAACCCGAATAACCAAGATAATTTTTCACCTCAATGTGTTTTTTATTTCATTTAGCAGCTCAGAGATGTGCTGAAAGTTACTAACTCTACATATATATTAGAATAACATAATATTTTACAGCTATCAATAAATATTCTGAATAATGTAGTCTTTTTTTAAGGTTCAAAATGTATCCTGCTGTTTGACAAAATACTATAGGAACTTCCTTGTTACAGTTTATTTCAGAAGCGTAATCAATTCCATATGTTATTTCTAATCAAGCTGATGTTAGCAGTAGGTAAACCTCCAAACTCAAATTCTCCTGAAATTTAAGAACAGGAGTTCCCTGACAGCTAGATATACACTTGTGTTTTACCTCTCTGTTAGGGACCTGTGACAGAAGTTGAAAATGGTGCTCGTCCTTCTCTATTTTGGCTCTGCTGCACTGTTTCATGAATTTAGACCTACATTTCCAAAGTCTGGGACCCAGGACTCAAGACTGAGATAGCTCTCATTACTCAGGTCTGCAGGTAGGGGATCAAGTTTGGATGTAGCACTCCCAAGACCCCATCCGAAACATTCCTTTATACATTCTCTATATATTTCTTTATTTAGACATAGATTTGGACCATATTTGGGTGGCTCTCCTGTGTTATCTCAAGAGAGGGTTTTTACACAGCAAATCAACTCCTGAAGGTATTGTGTCAGATTTGGTGCATAGTATGTTACATTAATGGAGCGCTCAGATTTTGCATTTTGTAAGGTCTTGAGTCTTAGAAAAACTCTGCTTTTGTAGCCTTGAATAAAAAATTCTAGTTAGCAACGCTTTCTGATATTTCTTCTAGGCCTGCTCAATACCAGCCGTGCGGACTAGAAAGAAGATCTCAGTAGGTCTTCACACATAGCTTTGAATATATGTAACTCACAAAATTTACCTCCAAAATGCAGACTTTCGGGGGCAAAGAAAAGTTATGATTTGCTCACCACCTGCTCAGGTAGTCCTTGCTACATCAGGTGGACATTGATCTCCTGCTGTTTCTGCTGGGTTGTGGTGCCTTTGGGGGGTCCCAACGCACTTGTTCCTGGCTCATGCCCAAGATGTCAATGGTTGGAGCACTTTTTGTACAGCCGCTCAGCCCAGTACTCTAGCTCCCAATCCAGGTTGCCTTTCAGGGTTTTTTACTGCGTAGGGACCAGCGTTACTTGGTGCTGGGGACGTCAGCTGAGGTCTCCAGAGACCTGGGATGGGCACGTGTCACATCAGTTGGACCCTGGTCGGTGCCAGTTTGTAGCTAGGTCTGAGGTCTCCGCGTGCCCTTCTCAAGGGGGAGATGTCACCCACTTTCCAGCACCACAAGACTATGAGTCTTCACATACACCGGTTCCTGCTAAATACTGATTTAGAGAGACGCTGTTGGATGGAGATTGACACCCTTTTGTCCCTTATGTGATGTGAATGCCAAAGTTTAGGAGACAGTCTAGGCTTCCACTTCTGAGGGTGAATCAGATTTCTCCTTGGGCTTACAGGGCGTAGAGCGTGCCTAACTAGCTTCACCACCTTGGAGGTTTGGATACTGCTGTCCCAAGTGTTTGCTTTGCAAGCTGCCCTGGTTATGGGTAAGTGACAGTGGCAGTGGGATAGAGGAAAGAGAAAGACAGGGGAGAAATGTAAAAAATGTAGAATAGCAGCTAACGTGTTAGAACTGATTTTGCCTAAGAGCAGGTGGGTAAAACGGGAGAGTTGCTCAGTTCTCACTTGTAAACTGAGTAGAAAGGTGCTTGCCTTTCCAGAAGAAAAGCAATGAGGGCATTAAATTGATGCTATGCACATATAAAAAGCTAGGGCCAAAGATCCGTGCGTTACTCTTTCCACTCGCAGGGCCTTAGTTTAATAATTAGGGCTTTAAAACTGTGACTGGTTTTAACCGTTTCTTGTAGAACTCTGGCTGAAGCGAGCTGTATAGAGAACACAACCTGCCCTCTCGCGGCTTACTGGAAAATTACCTGGTGACACCAGAAAGCTGTGTTCTCCCTTTTTAAAAAGTGCAGTCTTGGTCCAGCAACCAGGGAAAGTTTTGTCGTCGGTGAAAGGAAGAAGCGCAGGTAAACTTTATATTAAATGCTTAACAAGGAAGAAAGTTGAGCACAGGCACATTACAAAACGGTTGGAGGAAATCCTGTAGCAACTCTGATTGTAAAGGTTGGGTTTGCATGTTTTAATGTTCCACTCACCCCAAACCACAGAAAAGGCATTTTTTTTGTTGCTGGTTTATGCAAGTGTTAGTAAATACCTGTAATCTATCGTTGCATAAATTGTACTGAAGCTATTACTGCCAGGGTGAGATGAAAAGGGACGCTTCTGTCCCCTGACTGGAAGCAAAGACTCCCCCGGGCTGAAAACGCACCATCCCCAATCTCCACAGAGCCCGGGATTTTGGGATTTGGTCCTACAAATCAGTGCAAAGCGTGCCCTCCGCTCCTGGAGTCGGTGCGGGGTGGGGGCATGGAGCGGTGCCCTGCCTTCCCACTGCCCACCGCGCTGGGCTCAGCGTGGGCACCGAAATGGGGACCGGGAGGGCAGTGCCCACTGGGGATGGGGGTCACTGGTGCCCATGGGCCACCTCTGCCCATCGCCTTTTCCTCTCACATTCATAACTGAGCAGTCACCCAGCGCAGCCCGGGGGAAGAAGGATGAGGGACCAGCACATCCCTCCCCGTGGTCACACCTTGCTGGCAGATTTGGGGTGCACTCCTGAATGACTTCAAGGTGAGATGGGTGCAATCATCACCCCCCGCCCCCTCTTTAAAATAATTCCTGCTGAATTGGTGCTTTCTTCTGACAAAAGGCTCTGATTCACAGAGGAGCATGTAACGTGCAGCTGCAAATGAGACATTTAAGCTCTGGAAAGGGAGTAGTGCTCAAAACCATCCATTTCTCAGCCTTTTTGTTAGCTAGACCTATGCAGCTTCCAGCTCTGCGTGTAGGGCTTTTGTGGGGATTATCTTTCTGAGGAGTTTAATTCTCTCTAGTCACCAGTTAATTGCTCTCTCAGTTGGCTGTATTGGATCTGTGGGCAGCTAATGCCTCCTTCTGAGTCATCCAGTGGGTCAGGTGCCTAATTTTTTTGACTCTGTAGTAAGCCGGTGGCAGCCACATCATCTCTGTCAGTCATGGCCTGTGAAATTCTTTGAAAGAAGTAGTGAGAACCTGTTTTCTGAATTAAATTAAATCTCATTGCTGGCTGTTTAGCTAAATGCTTGAAAAGGATTCTGTTTCCATTCTGCCCCTGATTTAGGAAAGCAGCAGTGTAAAGCAACCACATCTTATGGCTATTATTGTAAAATTGGAAGTTGTAATGCCATTACTGACCTTCTGCTTCTAGTAACTGCTTACTTTACACTGCTTTTGGGAGAGATGTTTTGCACCTGCGCTTGTAAGGGGAGGAAAAGATAAACAAGCAGATTCAAAGACTATCAGCTAAATTCAGTAGTGAAGATACAAATGTACAGAACCACGCATGTAGGCTGATGGCAACTAGGAAGGAAAGTCAGTTTCCTAAAGTACCCGCTTTGGCCCTTTATGCAGTGTATGCAGCCAGTTAAGTGCCCTGCAGACAGCTGCCCAGAGAAAGTCGGGTTATGAACAAGGCTGTATCTATGATCCTGCTCTACTTTATGCTCCTGCAGCTCAGACACAGCTATGGGGAGATACTAATTATCCAGAGCCCCTTGCTAAAACTAGGCTTTCCAAGACCTGGGTGGCCAGAAGAAATGGTACCAGTGCTGGCCATCTTTTTACACACCAGCTCTTTCTTCTTGTGAGGGGGCATCCACCTCCTCTCCTAAAGGCTGAAAGACTATGGACATCAAAAGTTACCTCTACGCTGGGTTTCAGATTAAGCCAGCGTATAAGCCATTGCATTGTATAGATCCAAAATCATGCTCCGATACTAGCAGGGCACCCTCCAAGGATGAAATATGAGAAGAAAGCTCCAGGTATGCACCTAACTGCAGAGTCTGCAGGTCTGGTTCATTTTGCCTGTCTTGATCTTCTTCACCAATCCTGGCTGCACTCATGACGATGTTGCCATTGCTGTGTTCTCCCTTCAAAGGGTCCTGAGCCCACTCTTGTGCCAGGACAGATAGGATTTGCGGATAGCAGCTAAGCTAGTAAATGTGACGAGGAGAGTGAGAGACCTGAACAGGCCAAGCTATTCAGTAGAGAGAGAATAAGCGACCAGGTCTCTTCCACAGCAGATGATCGCACCCTGTTGGTCTCTCCTCCCTTCACTGCCTTGCTGTCTCTGGCCTGTTGACAAACCCGTGAACCCTGGAGCAACTTCAACAGGCAGGATGGAAAGAAAGCATGGGCTGACTCCAACCATCGCCCTTGGCAGCACTCCGAGTGCCTGAATAAAGGAGGTAGTCGCTTGATCTCCAGCTCAGATGAAGTCTTTTCAGCCCTTATCTCTGCCCTCAGGCTTTCTCACAGACTACATTAAAAAGCTCCTTTTTCCGCACCGTGGTTCTGCCTGTGGTGGGTCTCCTTCAGTGGTTCCTGATTTTCTGCGGTCCTGTAGCAGAGCTCTCAGCTGTCTGTGTTGGATATGGTGAATTGCATTATGTGGATATATGCCTGGGAGACAGGTGCCTAAAGGTGCAGTGGTGTGGCCACAAAGTCCCCTCCTGTGGCTTCCTTCAATTGGTGATTTCATTGCTGTGTTCCAGGCTGCTTCCAGGCTTGTTTCCCTGCCAACCTTCTCTGAGGGTTAGGTCCATCCGGTCTCTTAGCAGATTTGTTCATTTCTGCCTTAGAAGAAGGTCTCCTGAAGTTTCACCGGCTTTTATTTTAGTGCCTTTTGCTTGAAAACATCTTTCAGCAGCTTCATTTTTGTGTGGAGGCGTTATTGCTCAAATATCCGTAACACTTTCACAGTTGCCGCCTCTGCTTAAGTTAACTGAAAAGCTGCTAAACACGTTAAATGCTCAGAAGCTGTTCTTGTCGAGAATAAGGCTGGTGGCTGGCTGCTTTTGGGGTGGTTGCCACCCATTTCAGGTAGAGCCTGAAGTGCTTATTAAACCTTCTTCGTTGGGTTTCTTTTTCTTTTTTTACCAGGGACTTTCGAACTCCAGCCTAGCTTTTATCAACAAATTCTTCCACTTTCT